ACTGAAGAACTCAAGCTTTAATTATTACTAAACTACACATATAGGCAAAAGTGGGGGATCACCAATGTCTCAGGTAAAGAAACAAAAGAAATAACCTACAATACCTGAAACGCTTGAATCTTCTGTGGCACAAGAGAGTCTTCTGTGGTACCAAGACCAAGTTGGCCATTTTGATTCCTCCCCCAACTTGAACAATCAAAAACAAATCATTAGATTAGTATTTGTATAACCCTTGGATGACTTTTACCCAGCTCAAAGGAGTGGGAAAGACAAGGGCAATGGGACAAAGGAGAATATTGATAGCAAAACATGTGGTCACTTTGGTGTTGAGTCGATAGTTCAACGACATTGTAACTTAAAACTCAAGTTACAATTCAAACAATAGAATTGTGTGTGTGTGTGTGTGTGCGTGTGTGTGTGTGTGTGTGTATGTGTGTGAGAGAGAGAGAGAGAGTTTACAAAACACAACTAACCTTTGCACCTCACCTTCCATCGTCACAGCCAAACAGTGGCTGTCCCCACAAGCAATTTGCCTTATCCTCAGACCATATAATGCCTTTATTGGCTGAGGTGTAAACAAGTCACTGGAATTACCATGACCCAACCTCCCAAAGTCACCCCTGGAAAATAGCAAAACACCAGATACTTTTGAAGCTACAAGAAAGCAAGAAAAGAACTGAACAACAATAATTCACTTAACAGAGTGATGCCCTCATTACAAATGCATCCAGTTCAGCATAAATAACAATAAAATTTTTGTACACAACTGACGCCTCACTCTGCTCCATAAGATTTATTCAGCCTTAATACTATATGTTCTTATATTTAAATTAATCATGAACAAAGTGATTCAAATGAGTAGTTGAGAAATATGACAACAATAAAAGAAAATGCAATCAAACAGAAATGGGAGTATGAGCACTGGCGCCTACAAAATGTTGTGGTTAATGGTGTTTGAATTAATTAAAAACAAAAAATTGAAAAAATAGTAATAACAGTTGTATTTCTCACAAGATACTCTATGACCAAGTTTTGAAAAGGGACAAGCACAAAAAGGAAAACATTAAAAAAAAATTGGAAGAAGAGAACAAACCATCCCCAACTATACGCTTGTGTACATGAGTCAGAGTAAGCAATTGTATGATCAGCTCCACAAGTAACAGATACTATTTCATGGCCATCCAATGCACTCAAATGTGTCGGTGACAGTCGATCTTCAGCGTCACCATGGCCTAACTGCCCATCCTCTCCTCGTCCCCAGGAGCAAAAAACATTTTCAGCTGTGCATTACGAACAGAATCATTATAGTCCCCACTCCCATTCAATATGCGCCCATATTAGATTTGCACGATGACCTCAACGATGTTTTCAAATAAAAGAAACCACAGCAATAGCTAGCAAAGTAGCAACAAAGTATATCTAAAGTAATCAACCTAAAAGAGTTAAGACCGTTACAGAGTAAAGCTAAGATTGCCTAAGAAGCAGATGTTGGCATATATGCCTATGAGAAAATGGATGGTGTCTACCCCCATTGCAGGTCTGGGAGGGTCGGATCAATGCAACCTTGGTCTTGCTTCACAGCTGAGACCACCAAGTTGAATTAGCAAAGGTATTTCCTTGTTTCTTTTTTCTTTTTTCTTTTTTTTTCTTTTGGGTAACAAACAACTTTTAAGTTTGCACAAGGCTTACCCTTATTAGCATATATTCATTTAAGGAAGCAAAATTTCCAAAGATCAAGTCGAACCGGGGGTTTAAAAGAATGGAACAAACATGTTTTTGTTAACTTGCTTCATAAGAAACTACATAGCTCTACTTTTTTTTAAAAATTTCTCCAAAAAGAAAACAGAGAAATGGCAAACACTTGAATATGTTAGATGAAGTCATTGGTGGTGGAGGAGACTTATCAAACACAGAGAGAGTAGGGATTGTGAATCGAATCATGGGTGTTTTACTATTTTCCCAGCAGCCAAACAAAGAATAAGGAAAAGTGTAAAAGGGCAAGTAGAAAGAAAATAAATAAATAGAGAAAAAGAGAAATGAGGAGGAGATAGAAAGCTTAGCTTACAAAGAAGAGCAACAGAGTGACTGGCCCCAGCGGAGATGAGAAGGACACGGCGGATTGGAGCACCACTGACTTCACTGGCTCCCTCTTCTGCCATTTTCTCTCAATCTCTCTCCAGAGTTCAAAATTCCCACACAAAAAATGATAGGGATAGAAAAGGAGTCCAAAAGTCTCCTCCAACTCCAACTGGAGAGAGAGAGAGAGAGAGAAAAGGAGTTAGGAATTTGCTTGTGCAGAAGAAACAAGAAAGAAAGAAAGAAAAAAACAAAGAGTAATAAATTTGGACAAGTGAGTGAAATGGGAGGGACGATTGTGGGTCCCGGTTTCTATTTATAGTGATAGGGATTGGACATGTGCTCTTCTTCCTTGTTACAGGAAGGCTTGCAGTTTCAGTGAGTACTTACTGATGGCAGAGTCTTGGAGAATAGAAGAGAAACTGAATTTGTGTGAAAGGGAAGTAATGAGGAACGGAAACAGTGGCATTCATTGCGGAGGGCCCTACCCACCCCTCTACATTCTCAACCGCACACCTGTTTTTATATCTGATTTCAATTTTCAATAGGAGCTCAACTGCCGTACTTCCAAGTTTGTCCTCTTCCTCTTTTGAAAAGTTTGTGTCTACGGACAGTTAAAAACAACTTTAATGGTTGTATGTCAATTTGGGGTATAAAGTCACATTTAAAAGCAACTTTATAATCACGCCTGCTGCGCGACTTTCAAAACTTTTTTTTATTTTTTATTTATTTGTATTTTTCTAGATGACGGTCTTAAAAGTTTTCCTTTTATCACCCGTATTTTTCTAGATGCTAGTTTCAACAGTTTACGCACAATAAAACAAAAAAAAAATACAATTGAAAAAAAATAATAATAAAAACTTTTAAAGTCGCGCAATGCTCGTGATTATAAAAAGTCTCTTGAACGTGCGGAAACAATTGCGAAGAGGCTTGTCTAATCAATTTTAGGAGCTAAGGCGATTAACTTGTGTTATTTCTTTATCATTGAACAATTGATGAAACCAAAAGTAAATTTGAAACTGGACACGGTTAAAGTGACATTTATACTATCCAAAGCAAATCCAACATTAATTGAAAAATGTCATATAATTTAAGTTCAACAATATTTTCAATCTATACAACATTGTAGCTTTAGATTATGTACATAAATATATACATATTTACATATGCACATATAAAGAATATATGAAACTATGAAGACCACTTGCGCCACCTATTTGTCTGTAATAGATTTTTCACTTTTTCGTTGTGGTTATTTGTAAAGCTATTTTCTCATTAAAATTATGATTTTTCAATTACCATTATTAGTTTGAATGAAGTCGGACTTCTTTATACACCACATTTTGTTGTGGTTATTTTTAAAGCTATTTTCTCATTAAAATTATGATTTTTCAATTACCATTATTAGTTTGAATGAAGCCGGACTTCTTTATACACCACATTTTGAGTGACCACGCCTTATTGACTAATTGGTTTATTATTATTATTTTTTACTTTTACCACTTTTGTGGGAGCAAATATTTTCGTCTCCAATTATAACACGCCATGTAAAAAAAAGAATATCCCTTAAATTAATTAATTGAATCAATTTATTTGGAAAATTAATTAATATGAATAATATCTTAATTATAGGATATTATATTTATTTAATAAGACAATGCCATTAATTTAGATATTATCCTAATAAAGAGATATAATCATCATTAAATTAGGAGATTTGGATCCCAATCAAATTCCTAATTGACTCAATCTCTACAATTTGGGGAAAAAATAAACTTCTTTCTAATAAGAGTTTTATTCTCTACAAAACCATAGCCTCCGAGGCTCCTATAAATAGATTGTTTCATCTATATATATAAAGCAAAAGGCAGAGAATGGTGAAACATTCAAAATACCAGAAAATGCCCTTGGTTAATGCAAACATTAAGAATTGAAATTATTAATTAAATGAGGATAATATGGTAAATTCACACTTTTTCATATTAAAAAAAATTTAAAATTAAAAGAAAAATCAGATAATGGATCATCTTTTTATGGAACACAACTACTCATTATCTTTTTAAATTCTAAAATAAATTAAATTTTTTTTAAAAAAAAGCCTCTTGCAGGCGCGAAAGAGCATGCAGAGAGGCTAGTTCATTATTTAAGGTAACTCTAAACCTAGCTTTGAAACCCTGCAAAAACACCCAAGATCTCTCTCCCCTCTCTCTTCAAGCCGGCGGCAACCCTATTACCGCTGCCCACATTGTTCTCCTATCTTCATATTTTCTCCACAAGGCTCCGCCCACCACACACGGCTCTGGCCACTCGATTCTCACCATAAAGAAATCTCTGTACCCTTTTTAAGCTATTGTTTCACCTAGATTCAATCGAACGAACTTAGGCATCGGAGGGCCTTTGGCCAACACCCCCCATCGCATGCAGAGAGGCTAGTTCATTATTTAAGGTAACTCTAAACCTAGCTTTGAAACCCTGCAAAAACACCCAAGATCTCTCTCCCCTCTCTCTTCAAGCCGGCGGCAACCCTATTACCGCTGCCCACATTGTTCTCCTATCTTCATATTTTCTCCACAAGGCTCCGCCCACCACACACGGCTCTGGCCACTCGATTCTCACCATAAAGAAATCTCTGTATCCTTTTTAAGCTATTGTTTCACCTAGATTCAATCGAACGAACTTAGGCATCGGAGGGCCTTTGGCCAAAACCCCCCAGGCGTGGTCTATTTACTCTGGTCTTTTTTACAGGAATCGAGGAAGAGAGAGAAAGAAGGTCAAAAGGCGAAGGATCTAGAAGCGAATATTCTCCCTCAAGATTATTTGCACAAACATTTGGTGCTTTCATTGAGAGCACGAGTTATACTCAACGTGTGCACAAAGAATTTGTTCCTCCTATTTTCCGATCCACCAAAGCCTTCCAAACAACCATGGTTGGAAGCAAGCGCACTAGGAGCAAGACTGCCGCAATGGCTCAATCCGTGACGGCCCAAAGCCACTCTTCCCATGATCCCGCGGTCGACGTGGTGGCTCCACCACCTCATGCAGCCATTAACCCGCAACAAAACCTTGCTACCGCACCACAGCTGTCACCCCATGTGGCTGGAACCACTGTGCCACGTGTTGCCGCCGTCATACGTTGACACTGCTCCACAGCTGGTTCTACCTCGCAAGGCCTCACGGTCAGCACAACCGTGCACCCTCATGGTCCACCGTTGTGCCCTTGCCGCCACACCACCTAGTGACCAGGTCTAGCCACCTTCGTGGGGCCGCTGCCTAGCATGGTGGAACCTCCTATCAGGGTGGACTCACTACCATCGCCTTCTTTGGCCCAATCTTGGAGCAACTTCAATCATTCCCTCCATTGTCTCTACGCTCGACGTATGCCCATGCGTACACCTCTAATGAAACCCTAGCCCGTGTGCAATTAGGCTCCACATAATTCTCTCCTGCCGGTCCACGAAGTCAAGTAGACCTCAATATGAGAGTTGACCAACTAACCTCAGAGAATGGATGACCAAAACGACTTGGTGAGGCAGCTCCTCAACCAATTCCTGTCGAGAAGCTACAAGGAATCTCTCACAAGCGCAGTCCACCAACACGTCGCGCATGCATAACAACCAAGAAGGTCAACCCTTGCGAGCCAACGAAGAAATCAATCAACGTGGCCAGAATCACGAAGGTCACCAACGTGACCGACAAACCGTGCGAGCAGAAGACGTTGAGAAGCTTGTAAATAACCGACTTTGAGATTTAAAGATTGCGTGAAATTTTGAAGATGCTCTACGCATGGAGGTAGACCGACCAACTCCTTAACGTTTACTGCCGATATCGAGCAGGCTGCTCCCCTGAAACGATTCTCAACACCATTTTTCACACACTTCAAAGGGGATTCCGATCCCGATAGCCATATGAAACACTTCAAGAGTGTAATGATTTTCTACAAGGTCGAAGCAGCACTAATGTGCAAGGTGTTTGCAATGATCTTGCGAGGAGCAGCCCAAGACTGGTTCCACACCCTGCCATCTGGGTCGATCAGCAGCTTCAAGGAGCTAGCTTACGTCTTCACCAAGGAATACACTTATTACTAGACAATCAAGAAGAATCCTAGCCACCAGTTCAACCTGTGCAAAAAGCCCAATGAATCCCTTCAAGATTATATCAAGAGATTCAAAGCAGAAAAGGCGAAAATTGTAGGGTGCGATGACCAAATTGCGTCCTTTGCTTTCAAGAATGGTCTTCCAGTGGAGCATGACTTATACCGCGAGCTGACTATCACTCCCAGCCAGACTCTGGCAGAGGTCTTTGCGACTGCGAAATGCCATGCGCTCTGGGATGAAGATCGAATTGTCGTGAAGAAGTTTACCAAGCAGGAGGATCAGCCAACCAAGTGCTCAGGCCAAAGAAGCGATAGGTTTAGTAGCAGGGACAAAGACAAACGTAGATCGCACCCAAGGAGATGCTACGACAGAAGAGAACTACACCAAGTTCTTCATCCTCATACATCAAATCCTAGCCCATGTGAAGGACAAACCTTGGGTAAGAAGACCGTCACCCTTGAAAGGAGATCCGAACAAGAGGGATACCAGAAAATATTGTGCCTTCCACGGGACGTACGGGCACAATACGAATAACTACTTTGCTTGGAAAGCACACCTTGAAGAACCCGTGAGATAAGGTCATTGCTCAGAATTCATTGTGAAGTAGGTCGTCCAGCAAATTGAGAACCGCGATACCACCAAAGAGCCACCCCAGAAGGTCATAAGGATTAACACAATCCTAGTCGACTCCGAGGAGTCCGGGCTGACTAGCAAAGAAAAGAAGAGGAAGATTAAACATGCCACTATGATCTCCCAAGTCTCAACTAGACTCCCACTAGCAGAAGACAATCCTGTGATCGACTTCCAAAAGAAAGATCTAATCGACCTTGATCTACCACACAACGAAGCCCTTGTCATCAACATTCAAATCACTCAGGCCATGGTCGACCGAATCCATGCAGACGAGGGCAGCACATCTAATATCCTACAACTAGCAATCATTCAACAAATGGGCTTAGAGACAAAGATCAATAAATCAACCAGGTTATTAACCAGCTTTAATAGCGCAACAAAAGTTACCGTGGGCATGATAAAACTCGACGTTTATTCCCTACCTGTAATCAGCTCACAAACATTCATGGTCATTGATGAAGTCTCCCCTTACAACGGCATTCTAGGCAGACCATGGATTGGCAAGATCAACGCCATCACCTCCCCCTCACATCAGAAAATCCTCTACCCAATCCTTGGGGGCGGTGTCGGTCAGATCAACAGAGATCAGATAATGGTGAGAAAATGCTCAGTTCAAGGGCTAAAGAGAAGCAAGTAAACACAGTTCCTCCTTATGAATCAAGCAGATATGAAGGAAATAAAACAAGCAGAGGAGAAAGCAGTTCCCGTTTCTGACGGCTGAGTAGACCAGAAAGGAAAGGGAATAACTATTCCCCAATAGCAATCAAAGAATCAGGACCAAGTAGAGGGAATCTGTTAGGAGGTCTCTATTGAAGAAGGATGGAAGCCCGAAGATGATGTCGAGCTAGTACCCCTTGATCTTGACAAGCCAGAGAGAAAAGCGTGGATCGCCTGGGGCCTAAGCCAGGAGGAGAAGGTAGAGCTTGTAGCTTTCTTCCAGAACAACAAAGACTTATTCGCATGGTCACCATCCAACAAGCCAGATATCAATCCCCAGATCATCTGCCATCATCTACACGTCAACCCAGCTATTAAGCCTATAGCGCAGAAGAGACCCAACTTTTCTCCCAAGCGGGTTGCCATAATTGAGGCCAAGATCGACAATCTCCTAGCTGCCGATTTCATTAAAAAAGTCTTCTACACATAATGGCTGGCGAACATTGTTCTCGTAGCAAAGAAAGATATAGGCTTTATGGAGAGTTTGGGTCGACTACACCGACCTCAACAAGGCATGCCTTAAAGATAACTTTCCACTGCCAAGAATTGATCAGCTCATCGATTCAACTTCCGGCAATCAACTACTAAGCTTCATGGACACCTACTCCGGCTGCAATCAAATCATGATGCATGAAGACGACAAGGCAAAGACCTCCTTCATCATTGAAAGGGGTACATGCTGCTACAAAGTCATGCTCTTTGGGCTGAAGAATGCCGTAGCAACCTACTAAAGGCTAGTAAACAAAATTTTCAAGGAGTAAATCGGCAAGACTATGGAGGTCTACGTAGACGACATGCTAGTAAAAGCTCCCCAGCGAGCAGACCATATCAAAAACCTTGTCGAGGCATTCAGCCTACTCCGAAAATACAACATGAAGTTAAACCCGAGCAAATACACATTTGGAGTCTCATCTAACCGATTCCTATGATATTTGGTCACCCAAAGAGGAATCGAGGCACATTTGAATCAAATCAAGGCTATACAAAACTTGAAAACCTACCTCACTTCACCTCCCCTGCTCTCAAATCAATACCAGGAGAAGACTTGTTCATCTACCTAGTAGTGTTCGACTCAACTGTCAGCTCAGCTTTCATCCGAGAAGAGCTGGGGCCACAACATCCGGTATTCTACACTTCAAAAGCTATCATCGACCCAAAGACTCGCTATCTGAAAATGGAGAAGCTCATTTTTTTCACTTGTGGTTTCCTCGAGAAAACTAAGGCCCTACTATCAAGCTCACCGGGTCATGACAGAATTTCCTTTGAGATAGATTCTCCACAGCCCCGACGCTTCTCAGCGACTCATGAAATGGGCTATCAAACTCAGTCAATATGACTTCCTCTACCGGCCAAACTCAGTCAATACGGCTTTAGCAAATTTTGTTATAGAGTTTACTCTCACAATCGAAGAAGAGAAGCTAGTCACGAAAAACAAGAAAAATTCAAGAGCAAACAACCCCTCACCCTCCATTCCACACCTGCCTAACGATATGTGGCAGCTGCGTGTAGACGGAGCATCAAATCACAAGGGAGTGGGGGCAGGCGTCGTCATAATCACCCCAAATGGAACTTTGTTGGAACAAGCCATCACACTAAACTTTCCTGCTTCAAACAACGAGGCAAAATATAAGACATTGCTCGCCGGACTGCGCCTAGCAAAAGAACTATCGATCAAAAGATTGGCCATCTACTCGGACTCCCAGCTGATCATGAATCAAGCCTCAGACGAGAACATGGCAAAACATCCAAGAATGATCTAGTACCTTGACAAAGTCTAAGGACTTTTTGAAAGTATCATTGGCCAACGGTGATAATCGGAGACTAAAGCAAACGCACTGCAAAGATTGAACATAATGGAGCATATGAGGAGGAGCAAAGTCGTCCGAGCCATGGTTGCATGCTACAATTGAGTCGTAGAGGACCAACCATCCTCTGTGCTCGCACGATTGAAATGCATCGCTTCACAAATGAAATTGAAAGAAAATAGAAGAGTCTAGAATACTGAAAGAAACCGTAAGAAAAGATAAGCCGCTAGGTAACTTGTAAACCGCTCTTCAACTCCTAGCACAAAACCACGACTTTTTTTGTTTTATTTTTTTCTTATTTAATTAGTATTGTTTTACAATTTTACCTTGCTTTAATTAAAATTTAGTGCTTTTAATTTTCACTTTAGCAAGGACATTTTTGGGGTTTTAGAAAATTTCACTTTTAAGGCCTTCTCCCTTTATATATATATGTAAACGTGGTTTTTCCTCCAATGGGAAGAAATGTAAATTATAAGATGCAAATTCAATTTTGTGTATTAATTAGTTTTTGTGTTAACTTTAAAAAATAAAATAAAATTTGTGTGTTAGGTTTATTTTATTTCCAAACAAATTGATGTAAAAATTTTAAATTCAGAGAAGAAATGCTTTCATCTGATTTTTTATATTAAAGTATCTTCATCTCAACCCTCCGATTCTTATCTCAGATTTCATCCATTTTTCTATACATATCAAAACCATATTTACTATCACTCCATCAAAATCATATATTTCTTCTAAAAATCTTTCTTTACCACCACACTACAATGAGCCAACAAAACTTGTTCGACTCTAATTCTAAAGATGAAATTAGGGAGGAGATGATCGTCAAATGAGAGATATCACAAAAAAAGAATGCGGAGAAGACAAGACCCAGCGGTTCATAATCAAGAATGAGGATTGTACCAAGAGAATGAGAGGCTAGCAATCTTCGCCTTATGAGAGATTATTTTTGTGCCACTCTAGTGTATAATGCAAATAAGTTGTGAAGGAGATTTCACATGAGGCCGTCGTTGTTCAACTGAATCCTATAACAAGTCGCCAACGCCGATCCTTACTTCCAACAAAGACGGATGCTGTTGGAAATCAAAGGCAGACCTTGCAAGATTCTTGAGAAATGGGGGAAAATGAGATTTTCTCGGGATGTTAGGAAGCTTGGACTACTGGGAATGGAAGAATTGTCCAACTACGAACCATGGAGCTTATGTGGGCCATCATGGTCGTCCAACTATTATTCTTGAGGTCATAGCCTCATTTGACACATTGATTTACATTCTTATTTTGGTATGCCAGGTTCACACAATGATTTTAATGTGCTTTATTAGTCACGTCTTTTTGTATAGGTACTTGAGGGAACAATTACTCCAAACCACTACGTTAGTGGGTCCTTGTCTACCACTAGATCTCCTGTTAAAAACACAATTATAAGTCTCATCTGACAGCATGCAATTAACATCAATGGCCTCTGGCCTTACAATCAAACCCTAACATGGGCGACCTCAGAGCAATCTAAAGAATTTTCGTTTACAAACACGAACACAAAGTTCAATGGAAATAAAACAAGGAAAAGTCATCCTACAAGAGATTTGGCTAACCAATCCATCCCCAAAATGACGTCCAACTTGACCATATCTAGGGGAATCAAATCCGCTTCTAGAAACACATCTCCTACTAGCACTATACTATCTCTATACTCGTTGAATATTAATTTTTATTTAAGCAGTATAGCCGCGCAGCTATACTCTTTGAATATATTTTTAATTAAACACGTATAGTCGCACGGCTATATGCTTTAAATATTAGGGAACTTTAGTTTTAAACCACAATATAATTTACTAATTTGGAAGATAGAAATACAATTTCATCTAATTAGCATAAGGCCAAAGACCAAAATGTGGTACCTAATTTACAAAAATATCATTAAAAAATATCAAAATTACACACAATGCCACTCCTTCTAAGGCAAGCATA